CAAAATTTTTTACAGCATTATCATCATACTTCAGTGACTTACTATAATTATTTTAATGGTGCAACAAAATTATTTTCAGATCTGTATCTAGCTAGTCAAAATTTTTAAATACTTCAGCAAAATCGTTTTTTCCGTGCAAAAATAATCGATTGACGCAACAAAAAAATTCGGTTGAAAATTTTAGTAATATCAACACATACTTTTGGTTCAGAGGACAAAATTTGAGTAATAAGTCAATCACAAATTTTGTTCCATACAAACCATATTTTTGTTCAGTGAACTATATTTATGTATTGATATTACTAAATTTTCCAACTACATTTTTGTGTTGCACCAACCACAATTCTTGTTTGCCCATACAAACAAGAGATTTAGTTGATTCAACCAAATTTTAATTCAGTCAACTAAATGGGTTTCTCAGTATACATAAAGACGCATTTACCAGTAGGAAAGGCAAGTTTCTACGATAGATTTAAATTAGCAAAAAGTCTAGTGTCAAGTTTGCCCCGATGTCGAGTTAGCCCCGGTCTCCCCTACCTACTGTATTCTCTATTCATTTTTTTGCTTTCCGTTATTAAAATTTATTTTTAAATAATAAAAATATATTTTTCTTTATTGAATTATATATAATGCCTCGGTGCTAGTAATTTATCTTTGTTCAACGCTATATAATCCCATTTTAAGATTTACAAATAAGAATGTTTTTTTCTGTGTAAGATTCCTCCGAAAGACAGAAAAGAAATTTTTGTATTGTAGGATATTAAATTGTAAAGAGCTTTTTACTTGACAATTTTGACGTAATCAATTTTGACGTAATTTGATTTAATCAATTCGGCATCGTCAGACTACGATAAGAATTTCTCCTATCTGCTATATGCATCAAACGTACATCTTGACATGCTTACTAATTCTATTGCATTTCTGCTATGCATCGTCAATCAACAGTGTATAGGGTTGCCAATTACTATGAACTTGATTTTAAAAAAGTACATAAATCAGTTTGACATTGAAATTAGAACGAGAAAAAAAATATTTTTAAAAACTAAGATATTTTTGCTAAAAAAAAAATCTTGACTCCAAATTAATTAAGGAATTTGTCACTAAAATTAATAATTCGCGAAGTGTCAAACGTATATTTTAGTAATAGCTATCCTTTTCTTGTATAGTATGTAAATAAATTTAAATGAGTATTGATAGTCTTTGATAATTCTAAGTTTCACTGAAATCTTCCATTTTAACCCTTTAGGGGCCTGTGTACATAATTATGTACATTAAAAAAAAACTAAAAAAAACTAAAAAACTTTCATCAAGGACGTCTTTTAAGACTATCTTATAAATTATAACATTTTACTCCAACGGGATCGATGTGAAATGTGGCTCCTAAAGGATTAATGAATTTATTCACGAAATATTTTTTGAAATTCTTCTTCCCTTTATAGAGAATTGTTCCTTTGCACAAGAATTTTATTAATCTGTACGCACTATTTATGACATATATATTATTTATATCATTATTTAATAGATTACCTTTCGGTTTAGTCGGTGGAACTTTTATCCTCTCCGAGAAAGGTATCGTAAAGACCCTTTCCTTCGCAAAGACGACCATTATAGTGAACTTTTAACGAAGCTGACACTGAAGCAAATTGCAGAAACAACGACACATCGACCGTATCCACGTAGCTTTATATTATCACCAAAAACTGATTCTCCCACCTTTTTACATTTGAACGTCTACTTAAGCGACGGCACGTCTTGCTGTCATATTAATAAACAGATATCATTTCTTTAGCATCAAAAATCACTGTATAGCAAAATGTAATCCCACTCAATTATACACCTGCTCAATATTCTTCACTGTCTGTTTTATCTTCCATTAATTTCCTGAATGGGATTAACATTTAATCTTTGGATTTTTATTGCATTATTATTGTGATATAATTTAATAACACAGATTTGCTTCAAATTGCAAATTTATATATTTTAATAATTATAACGAATAAAATAAAAGGAATATAAAATAAAAAAGGAAGAAATATTTACTAAAGAGAAGAGATATTTCTTTATTTAAAAACAATATTTTTTCTATACTTACATAATCTTCTCTGTTGGATATATTTCTTTTCATAAATACATAATTGAAGAGAGTTGAAAGGTGTGCGGATCAGAAACTTGAGGTAAATCATTGTCCGTCACCAAGATTTTATTAATTTAATACTGATTAAATTAATCATATACATCGAAATGTTTTGTAATTAGAAGAAAATTTTAACACTACTGCCAAGATGCGAGCAATATGAATTATTTATTATTTGATGATTGATTTGAAATAAATGTGTTTCGTTAATAGAATAACGTACGATAAAAGAAAGGAAAAAGACTTAACAAAATCTGTAACTGAGTCTTAATTATTCTGTCACTTACTGAGATTTTATTATTGAGATTTCATCGCGTGAATACGAATCAATTGCGAACGATAAATAATCTTTTCTGCGTTCTGTACAGATAACGCGAATGTTAATAACTTAAGCACCACACTGGCCAGTTGACATTCTATCAGATAGAGATTCGCTCTCGAGTATTTAGAGCCTTGGCAGAAACGTGTATTGTCGTATCTATCGATCAATACATACCAGGAAAATAAACGTCGAAAGATATGGAAAAAACGGGAATTTTGTAGCACTTACAAGGGTTTGGAACTGTCCTTCACCGATTTTGGTAAAATTTGGATATATTGCAGAGTGGCGAAAAAAATAACAAACACGTATTTTTTTTTATCAGCTCCGAAGCATGTTTAGGGATTAAAACAACCCCTCGAAAGAAATTCTATATATTTGATTACGAGTGAATATCTCTGAAACCGTGAGGTATGAAAAAATGTTTTAAATTTCACTAAAAGAATTAATTTTTGTTAACAAACTCGTGTTCTTCGACGCGTCCTTGATCGGATCGCCTGTAATGTGAAGTAGGCAACCAGTCGCACGACAGCATTGACGTCTGATGATACTAGTCCACTTTCTTTAATTTTATTTTGGCTTTTTGGTTGTTCTTTTTAATTTTTATTTACACATTTTATTACAGGAGGTGGTCAAAGTGCTTGCCTCGCACCTGATTACGTTAATTACATCTAAATAATAAATTTCTTATCCCTTTACTTTTACCTAACATGTATTTACAAAAACAAGTCAAGAGGCGTCAAGTTGATCGACAACTGAAAGTTAATTGAAAATATAACGGGGGCTTCTAATCAAATCAGGAAAAATATTGAAATATTCCAAACAGTAAGAAATTCAATGCTACACAGATATGATAAATGTAATCAAGTGCAAGACAGATACTTTGAGCATCTCCTGTAATAAAATATATAAATAAAATTTTTAAAAAGCAATAAAAAATACAACATTAAAGAACATGTGGACTAGTATTGTCACGCACTGTCGTGCGACTGGTTGCCTACTTCACAGGCGATCCGAACAAGATCGCATAGCTCCTCAAGGATGCATCGGAAGGGTCCCTTAATAAAAATTATTTCGTGAGAGAGACCTATCAACCCCTAACATTTGTCCCATACCTTCTAAAACACTCTCTATATTCACAATCAATTTTTACACCTTTTTTATAACCTGTTTTTTCCTGATAAGTTACTAGGCATTTGTTTTGGAATAAATCATCTTATAATCGGTTTCCAGACACTTTCTTTTACATTATAATTAGCTTTATAGTAATTTTAGTATTACAGTGCTTAATTATTATAATTAGCTTCCAGTAATCTTTTAGTGATCTTAAAAGTTTTTATTCTATTTATAAAAAGCTATTTGACAAATGTTCTCTTTACGTACAAAACTTGACTTTATTTTAACTTTCCAGAATGCTTGAGAAAATCATAAACACTGTATGTGAAACTTTTAAAACTATGTCTATTATTATTTTAAACACGTAATATGCATGTGATTGTATCTAAAATACTGTTCTAAGTCCAATCAAAATAAAAAGTAAAAATTCGTTCTTATATACACATAATAATGTATCTCTGGTGTTATAAGTCTAACTTATTAGTCAGATTAACGATAATATAATCAGCTCTGATAAGTGAGGCTAGTGGGTAACGAAAACATCGGTGTAACACAAAATTGAAACATATATTACATTACACTTTGGACCAATGATATGTACAGCTGTTTATCGATGAAAATGATAATTTGTAACGTTCCGATATTTAAAAGTACATTTATAAATATAAATTTAATATAAATCAGCTCCAGTCCTAACTTCGGGCTTAGGGGAGACCGGGGCTAGTTCTCACACTTTTCAAATACTGATTTAAAAAAAAATGTTAACAATATTTTATAATATCGTATACTACTTTATAATGTAGCTACATCTTTTAGGTGTAAAAAAAAAAATATTAGACTTATATATATTTATACACAAAAAAGTTATTTAAATTTAAGCAAAACCGCGCAAATGTGACAACTTATCCCAACCCTGGGTTGGTTGTCACATGACTCTGGATTGATTGTCACGTATAATCTTTCATATAGAGAAAACACACGACAAATAGTTCCTATTTTAATATTTTATTAAAGTTAGTACCAGTTTTTGGGAAATTTAACTTAATAATATATTGCAGCATGAATTAAACAAAAAATTAATAATTTTCGTAAACTTTGTAATATAATTCTCATAAACTTAGAGTAAATGAAAGAATAATAATTTTCATAAACTTTGTAATACTTTCATAAGCTTTGAGTAAATAAAAGAATAATAATTCTCATAAACTTTGAATCCCATCTCATTTGAGACAACTTACCCTGAATGGTCATTTTGAACAAAGAAGATTATATTTATAAACTATGTTGCAATGACGGTTAACTAAATACAGGAAAAATTATTTAAAACTATAATATTTCTTATGACCAAAAAGAAATATTACGACAGTAATTCCAAAAACCAACGGAATAATAAAAATACAGGCAAGAAAAACTTACTCACGATCAAATTTTTAAAAAGTGCTCGTAAATATTACATGCGATGTTTTTGAAACGAGCTATTTCGTGCACCCGACTAACACGATAGGAGCAACCTATACTATAAAGAAAAATATTCCACTCAATCTATTAAGTGAGATATAAGCTTTGTGACAACTTACCCGTGTTACTTTTAGCCCCGGTTTCCCCTACATTACACACCCGCATATTTTATAACTTGCCGTAGGATTTAGTCCAATGACAAGTTACAAAAATTTCACAAGAGCGTATCAAAGTTAATTTTATAAAATTTTAAATGTGCGTTTCGTTCTCTTTTTTCTCCTTTCGTTTCGGCTGTTGTGCTTTTGGGTCATTCCACCATTGTATCTCGCCTTTGCCGAATATCACAAACACCAAATTACCTAGAAAGAAAAGCGCCGCTGAGACGTAGAACACGATGTTCCACTGATACACGTTACTCTGAAAAGCGAGAGATCACTCGTTACTCGTTAGAAACTTTCTCATTGTTTCTAAAGCAATTAAATAAGTTCATTAAGGATAAAATAGTAGGAATTGTAAATAATAAGTAGATATATAGGTAAATTTGAAGATATAGAATTAAATAAAAAATTTTCAGAAAATTGAGTAAACTATAAAATTACTATATATATTACATGCAGATATTTCACACACACAGAAAAAAGAGAACAGATGATTACCTCGTCGGTGACGATGATAGCACATATTAGTGGCGCGATAATAGAGATGACGGTGGCAAAGGTATTGGTGATGGATACCATGGTCCCAGCAAAGTTTGGGCTAAGATCTATATGATTGATGAGGAAGCCGCTTAAACCCCCAGCGTTCAGACTTACTGCCAGAACAAGGATGACAATGGCCCATATATAACCATCGGTGGGTACGACGCTCATACATGCCAGAGCGATAGCCGGACCCCAATAAGCCACTGTGTTGCAAATCTTTCTAATTGTACCCCTGGCCGCACCTTTCTTCAATGCAAAGTCGGATAGCCAGCTTATGGGAAAGGTAAGAATAAACTTCACCGAGTATGGCAAAGCGGAAATTATACCACTCTACAAAAGAAAATGTATATTTTAATTAATTTCTTTATATAAAGTATTATGTCTAATCGATTAAAGAAGAAATAATTCCAAATAAGGTGGAAATAATTTCAAATATATCTATTATAAATATTAAATCACGGATATTAAAACGATTGCAGTCGAATAAATGAATTTCGCCAAATTCGTGAAACTAATATAGGAAGAAAATATTCTTTATCCTGTTTACTCGTTTGCCAAATTTTATTGCTTACCTCTTTGACATTGAAATTCAACACGCCTGTTATGTAACTCGGTATTTGCGTCGATAAAGTCGTTCCTCCCCAATTTTGCGTGGAGTGGGCTATTATGATAGCCCACATAGGTAGCGAAGTGAATATGTGCTTCCACGGTGTTTTCAGTTTCTAAAAGATATAAAATTATTCTGAATATAAATACCTTGTATTATTTTTTATTGCATGTTTACAGTCTTAAATCATTATATATAATGATCATAAAATAATTTTGTCGCGAGTATCGTAAAAATAATCTAATGTAAAAAAGATGTTCAAGCTCGAAATTGAAGAAACTCTTTCTTCATATTATGATACAGAAAAATATATTAAGGCGATAAACAAGTATTACTACACTGGGCAACAAAATTATCGCAACAAAAATTTACGTCAAAAATTTTCCTAACTTCAAATAAGCATAACTCCGCGAAAAATTGTCATATCTATAAGATTTTTTTTTATTTTAAAGGGTGAAGTCTGTACTTTAAGGAACCATTGTTAGATTTTGAATTTAGCCTCTCCCCTCCCGCCGTTCTTCCAAAAGTAAGGACGTGTTACGTCTCTAAAAAATTGCATACTTTGACACATTCTACGGAGTAAAATGAATTTTTTTCGTAACTATCATGGCAACCATCGTAAAATATGGACTTGTTTCTGCAAATTAAAAAAAAATTTTTAAACACATACAGACACACACACACACACGATAGGCAAAATCCGACCAATAACCTCTCCGTAGTGTTCATCGGGTAATACTAATGTTGGCGGTGATTGAATGCACAAAAATGCATAGATAACTTTGATAAGCCATAACTCGGCGAAAAAAAATCGTACGGACTTAATTTTTTTTTAATTTGCAGGGAAAAGTCCATATTTTACGATGGTTGCCATGATAGTTACGAAAAAAATTCATTTTACTCCGTAGAATGTGTCAAAGTATGTAATTTTTTGGAGACGTAACACATCCTTACTTTTGGAAGAATGGCGGGAGGCTAAATTCGATCAAAATCTAACAATGGTTCCTTAAAGTACAGACTTCACCCTTTAAAATGAAAAAAAATCTTTCAGATATGACAATTTTTCGCGGAGTTATGCTTATTTGAAGTTGGGCAAATTTTTGACGTAAATTTTTGTTGTGATAATTTTGTTGCCCAGTGTATATGTAACACCAAAAATCATTATTTGTGTCATTGAGATTTATGATAATAGATTATTACCTGTTTGACCTCGTCATCGCTTTTCGCTTCAGTTGTCCTCAAACTGTCTTCTATATACATCCTCTCCTCCGGAGAAATACTGCGATGAATGGACGGTGTGTCTGCTCCAAAATAAAGGAACGCTATGCTCCAGATAATCGCTAATACACCGAATATGTAAAAGATACTGGGCCAACCACTGTTGGATGCAGCGAGAACTCCAGCAATCGGCATTGTGATCACCGCGCCGAGTTGGCTGCCCGCATAAGCAAATGTTCCTGAGGTATAATGTTTAGACTTATTTAGTTGCAAAATTATATCAATTAACATACAATTAAATACAATTTGCTGTTAGTTATTTTACTATAGAATTATAAAATTCGTTTTTTGCAAATTCTACTCATTTATCAGTAATCTTTCGGAACTATAAACAATACGGAGAGAGAAGGAGAAAGAAATACATATAAAACTCTTCTTCTAAGAAACTAAATTTAATTTTAATAACCAAAGCAGGAAGTAACGTGATGGTATGACGTTTCAAAAATACTTTACTGCAGAACAATTGAGAAAAAACTTATTATATATAATTATATATATGTATATATAATATTTCTATATATTTTTTTTCTTTCTCTTGTATAATCTCTGTTCTTATACAAGGTATTTTCTAACATGTGGAACTCACTTCAGCAGTGGATTGAAAACACAAAAACAATGAAAAAAGTTTATATAAACATTTATTTGATCTTGTCCCGAGTTATAACCATTTTTGTGCTCCAGTTATTTACAGCTGCTTACCTTATTCATAGGAGGATCGAAATGGCCATATTTGGTTTGTATTTGTAAACAATGCTAAATATCAACTGAATATTTCTCGATCTTGTGGATTTCACACGTTCTATTGATTGAGTTTACTCACTTCAGTTTGTTCTCTTGTTAGAAACACTTAATAATTCACTAATTGGCCATGCGTTTTATAAGTAATAGTTAAGTGAATAAGGATGAATAATTATTTAAATCAGGAGATGGCAGACATGTATTTGATGTACGGACTTGCCGAAATTATATATGATTTTATATAAAATATTGTATAATGTAATCGCAGTTTTATTTTTTACCAAAAAAGCTAATTAAAAGTTACTTTTTAATTATTCTTCTTATTATTTTTCTTATATATGTGTACAAACAGAGATTATAAAAGTGAAAAATATATATATACAATATGGATATACTTTATACATATATATAATTATACATATACGTATAAAAAATATTTTCCCGGGCAGTCACTAATTTTTCTACAATCTTGAAATAAAATCTTTAGCAACTTCTTCACACACACACACACACACACACACACACACACACACACACACACACACACAC